TGGGGGTGCCACTGAGAACTCTGGGATCTAATCCTGAAGCTGGGCTCCCCAGCAGAGAGCACCAAACTGAGGAGGGTACCCACATACATCTAGCTGTGAAAAGCAGTGGGGTGCTGTCTGCCAAGGAGTGGCAGCTGAAAGTTTGGGCACCCTCTTAAAGGGCCAATGCACAAAAATTTCCCTGTGGGGGGAGACAGTCGACACACCCTATTGCAGCGGTTCTCAACCTGTGGGTCGCGACCCCTTTTGGGGTTGAACGACCCTTCACAGGGGTTGCCTAAGGCCATCGGAAAACACATATATAATTACATATTGTTTTTGTGATTAATCACTATGCTTTAATTATGTTCAATTTGTAACAATGAAATTGGGGGTCACCACAACATGAGGAACTGTATTAAAAGGTCACGGCATTAGGAAGGTTGAGAACCACTGCCCTATAGGAAAACACTTTGCCCTGAGGCCATTTAAGAGATTGAAAGTAACAATTAGCCTCCAGGTAGAAGCAACTTACCTACCCAGTTGAAAAAACTCTTGCCACACCTGAGGATGATTGCCTAGGGGCAATTCAAGTCGGAATCCTATTAGTCTGTAGACAGAGGCGGTCTCTGGAGGCTTTGAGTCTTAGCCTAATCCAATTAGTCAGAAACAGCCTTTAACACTCCCCTGCACTAGAGATTAAGAGGTATAGAGGATCTACCTAAAACATAGTCACAAACCCAAACAGACAACCAAAATGAGGAAACAAAGAACCCCCAATGAAAGAACTAGCGAATTCTCCAGAAGAGATAAATAAAGCAGAGATAAGAAATTTATCTGAAACAGAGTTCAGAGTAATGTTGTTAAAAGCTCAACTAGAATATAATAGAAGTAATCCTGTTATTTGCAGATTTTTAATATTTCCTACAACTTTTGTGATATACTATGTTAGTACAGTTTTGGTAATATTATTACACTTAAAATCCTTTTATTCTTGAAATATTAATGTTTATTGCATGCAACATATTTAAGATCGTTTTTCTTGAAATATTAAGGTTTATTGCATGTAACATCATTATATTTAAAATCATTTTTCTTGAAATAAAAAACACAAAAAAAGAATATCAAAGACTTTTTTTAGAATATTCAGTGAGGCTTTGGCACCACATTAATAGGAAAGTCACTTATTACCATTGCTTTAACCTTCTTAAATGAAACCTGAAGATTCAGTATTACAGTAAATAAATTCAAGTGTGGTAGATCACATTATTGTGCAAAAAAAATCCATATTTTCCCCATAAATTACAGTCTTAAAATTCTTCCTTTTCTCAGATCTATACATTTTTCAATCCAATTTTTCAGTTTTCCACCTCAACTTTAAAACTAGAATACCTATCAGTTTTTTACATTTAGAAATTGAAAATAAGAAATATTTTCAGGTAATTGTATACATTAGAATTAGATTAATTGGATAACTTATTCAACTCTCTGTCCAGCAATTGTCAATTTGTTCACATGTAATACAAATTTAATTTTCTTAAATATTAGTGGAGTGTGTTAAGGTCCCATTTACTTCTTAATTTGAATTATCCTATGGATTTGATTAACATGATTAGCCAAAGTACAGAAAAGAAAGTTCTTCATTTCCATTTCAGACGGGCAATATATTTAAGATTTGAGCTCTAGCTCTAGTTCAAATTGCTCCTACAATTTTATTTTTAGTGTTTACCTGTGTTGCACTATTTTGTATTTCTCTGAAAGTATTAGTATCTGTTTAATTGAGCCACAAAGAGTAAAACAGTAAAGAACAAAGAGACGAAGAGGATGAAACAATAGAACTTAGATGTTAAATAAAACACTGGTTCACTTTTATCTTCCTTCAGAGGACCTATGCCAGCTCTACGTTAGCTCCCTGAGACTGGAGTGAAGACTTTCTGCCCATCTGTTTGCCTTGATTAGCATACTTATTGGACCCAACCATCACATACAACAAAACATAACTAATATGTGTTAGGTAAGTGTGTGTTTGCATGGTTCAAAAATACTTTTTATGTCAATACTTTATAATAAACATGTATGCCAAGTACTTGCCTAGATGCTTTATATTTTATTCTCCCAACAATCCTATAAAGTAAGTACTACTAGTTCTTAATTTTATTGATGGGAAAACTGAGGCTCAGAGGGGTTGAGTGACCTGCCCAAAGCTTCAAAGCTTAGGAAGCAGAAGAATCCATATTCAAAGTTGTTTAGTTCCAGAACTTATGCTCTCTTTTATTTTTAGACTTATGATATAATTTATTTTTTAAAATTATTTTTTGATTAAAGTATTACATATGTCTCTCCCCGCCCCCCCCCCCCATTGACTTCTCTCTGGCCACTCCCACCCCCAGCACATGCCCTCACCCCCCCACCCCCCTCAGTGTCTGTGTCCATTGGTAATGTTTATATGCATGCACACAAGTCCTTTGGTTGATCTCCTAACACCATGTCATGTCCCTCCTCTCCCCCCCTCCCCCGCCTTCCCTCTGAAGTTTGGCAGTCAGTTGATGCATCTCTGTCTCTGGATCTATTTTTATCATCAGTTTATGTTGTTCATTATATTCCACAAATGAGTGAGATCATGTGGTATTTATCTTTCTCCTATGCTCTCTCTTTTTTAAAAATAAATTTTATTAATTTCAGAGATGAAGGGAAAGGGAGAGAAACATCAATGATAAGAGAAACATTGAATGGTTGCTTCCTGCACACCCCCTACTGGGGCTCAAGCCCACAACCTGGGCATGTGCCCTTGACCATAATTGAACCTGGGACCCTTCAGTCTGCAGGTCAACACTCTAGCCACTGAGTCAAACCAGCTAGGTCTCTCCTATGCTCTCTTAATGCTAACACTCCCTTATACAACTGAACACCAAAATCCATTCATTAATGGGTTGAGGCAGAACACATGTACAGAAATTAAACAAGTGTGAGGCAATTACTAGAATGATAGGATTTGAGAAACCATTATGTAAATTCCAGGCTTCCTCTGGGAATATATTTTATTTGATCACTAGTCTATACAAAGTTGTATAATAGATAGAATATATTGAAATTACTTAGAGGAATTAGGAGACCATTATAACCCTCTTATCTCTACCTTTTCATTTTAAATAATTTTCATAAACAGGAATACCATATGCATGTTCTACTGGTATGTAGAGGATATAAAGGGCTTATTATCATATCCTCAGTCTACTACTTTTGAAATATACTGTTTTTACTGTGATATTTTCCCTAATCATTCATTTCTAATTATATTCACAAATCATTGTTAATAATGATACCCTACTTCCTTATTCAGTTAAACATTTGCGTAATATTCTTTATACAATTAAACATTAACACAGGTATTTTGGAATACACAGTGTACTCAGGTCTTTAACACTATGTTTGATAAGGCATATTTCATTTGTCTAACTTGAAACTATAAAATTAAGAAAATTAAGAAGTGATCTTGAAATTCTTCTTGGAAAAAGATACTGCAAATGGATTTAAGGAAAAATGTTATGTGAAAACCACCTATTCATTCAGTATTGGCTGGCAATATTTAATGGACCTGATACTAGATTTAGTTTATAACACAAGTTAGGAGCAACTTTCTGGTATTCATCTATTCTTACTCTGTATATTTCAATTTCTCTGTTGAAGTAATACAATTTTGGAATTCAAATATCCCTGGTTCATTGTGTCTCAGACGACAAGCAATAAATAATTGCCAGTTCAAGGCAATAATTGAATATCTCCAGTCTACATATTTAAGATTCATATATAGGAACCAGGAGAAGACATTCTTAGAGGTTAGTCTTTGGGGCACCTCCCTTAGCAATCACATCTACTATTCCAGCTCCTACTTACATCATTGAGATATAACTTCCAATCTAGAATTCTAGCTTTGACCTCTCTCATTAATTCAGCCTCACATCTCCTATTCTCTACTGAGTATTCTGGATATTTCCACTTGGATATTTAACATTCACCTCAAACTCAAATTATTGAGAGCTGAACACATCACCTTTCCCCTTAAAATAGTGTCGCTATCAGGTTTCCTTATTTCTATGAAGAGTTTCTTCATTTTTCTATTTATCCAGGCCAAAATAATTGAATTTTGACCCCTACCTCTCTGCTGCCTCCCACCTCACTCATGGTCAATTGACAAGCCTTATCTGTATATTAATTCATTAGTGTTTCTTACGTCACCTTTTTTCCCCCCTAAGGCCATTTCTCTAGTCTGGGTCCCCAATATATATCATGACCTCATAATATCTCATACTAAGTATTCTCCCAAATCAGTTATACCTACAAAATTGGCTCCACCATTTTCTTCTACTGCCGGGATCTGGTTACTGTTATCAATACTAGCACCAAATTTTCTGGGTTCTCTCAAGCACTTTTTTCTTAGCTGGTTCCCTCCCCCCCCCCACCCCCAATGATTGGAGCTACCAGCTATACCTGCATGCTTAAATTCCTTCTGTTTTTCTATTACAAATCTTGTAGCAGAGCCATGTCTCTGGCAACACCATTTCTGATTTGGAATTCTAACTTAATCTTAGACCCCCTTAACCTAACTTAACCTTGCTCCTTCTGAATTATTAGAAAAGTGAGCCATGGTCTCCTTACCCACAGTCCCCCATCCCCAAAGCTAACTTCAATCTTCTCTTCCTAATCTTAAGGTAGGACTTTCTTTCCCAAGAGACTAGTGACATATATTAAAAAGTTTACACAGAGCCCCAGTTGGCCAACAAACTATGTAATCCCACTTGGCATTTAGCATGACTAGTAAAATCACTTGCATGTTTAGTGATGACCATTGGTCTCTACTCCCTAACCCATTCAGAGCTTTATCATAATGTCTGTCTGCTCTGGAATTATACTTCAACATTCTACTGCTGCAACACATAAAGGATGAATATCATATATGTGACACACCCATGAATATACTTAAATAAGCTTCAAATTATGTGAATTAACCAGTGATTTTGAACTCACCCCTCTTCTATAAAGCATACAAGAATGCAAGAGAAAGAAAATGATGTTATCATAGGAATGACCTTAAATTTCTAAAAAAGAAAGAGCACTGTTGGCAAACTTTAAAAGCACACATATATCTAGTAAGAAATTACTTTGGATATACCTCATATCGAGCACAATAGGTAGAAACACCGTTGTCCCATGACCCTCAAGTTGAGAACATTGCTGTTGGTGGATCTATTTTTTTTTCCAAAAGCTTTACAAGAAAGGAGTTGTTAGACTTCTTGCTTGAGCTCAGTAGGGATGCTCTTTTGATCAGGGACCATACTCTCAGAGCCTACAGGGGCTGTGCAGGTTATGTATATGACTGAAGCAGGCAGAAAGCAAGGAAAACAACACAGTGAGCTCAAGGATATGTTACAACTGGCACAGAGTAGAGTGGGAGATATTAAGGAAGAATTGGGACACCAGAAAATGATAGAGTCTTTTCTCCATTCAAAAAGTGCAGTTGTGCCCTGGCCTGCGTGGTAAGTCCAGTGCACCGAAAGGTTGCTGGTTTCATTCTGGATCAGGGCACATGCCCAGGTTGCAGGCTCAATCCCCGACAGGAGCCGTGCAGGAGGCAGATGATCCACGTTCTGCTCTCACCTTGATATTTCTTCCTCCCTCCCTTTCTCTCTAAAAATCAGTAAAAAAAAAAAAAAAAAAAAGTGCATTTGCATCCCTGGCCTGGTCGCTCAGTTGATTAGAGTGTTGTCCCAATACACCATCGATTTCTGATCAGGACACATACAAGAATCAACCAATGAATGCATAAGTGGAACAACAAATCAATGTTTCTCTCTCTTCCTCTCTCTCTCTCCTTTTCTCTCTAAAAAAATTAATAAAAATATATCACAGATGAGTGGATAAAAGAACTGGTACATTTTCACAGTGGAATACTATGTGGCTGTAAAAAAGAAGGAACTCTTACCTTTTACAATAGCATGGATGGACCTTGGAGAGTATTATGCTTGGTGAAATAAGCCTGCCAGAGAAAGACGAATACCATATGATCTCACTAATATGTGGAATCTAATGAACAAAATAAACTGATGAACGAAATGGAACCAGAAAGCAATGGATGCATTGGAACAAAACTGTTAAGGAGCAGAGGGGAAGTAAGGGTGGGGGGCAACTGGATAAAAGAAGTTGAAGGGAATTAGAATATCCCAGCGACACAGACCATAGTGTGGTGAAGACCAAAAGAGCAGGAGGTGGGGGTAGGTGAAGGTGGGCAAAAGGGGTGGAAAATGGAGGAAGGCTGCAATAATGTCCACATTAAAAATTTTTAATAAAAAAATATAAAAAGTTGCGAGAGTCCACGGCCAGTGTGGCTTTCGCGGGTTCAAAGACTTGAAGGGAGGGCTGACGCGCAAATGATACACACAGGTGGAATATTAATTTTTATAACTACCGGGGGAACCAGAGGACAGCCTAACCATGAAGGTCAAGCTCTCTCCCTTGCTCCATTCCCAGCTGTTTTTATTAGCTAGAATACACAATTGCCTTTAGGAATGCAAACAGACATATCAATGGTAATGTTTAGCAAACAGTAAGATTGTCAGGTCTTGGGGGAGTTTGCTTTAGGCCATTGAGTCAGCAGCAGGTAAGAAAATGTAGATATTCACCCTGTGAATATCAAAAGGAGTCCTGGTCAGCCTTCTGCCAGACTCCTCACATTTATATCAATTACTGTTGATCTTGGTCTGCAGCAAAAAGTTCAGTTGCTACATGAAGATGGAAGTCATATGTTAAGTAAGGATTGCAGAGTAGAATGACAGAAGGAGCGTGGATCCCTGATGATCACGGAAGCCCATCTAGACCCAGGACTGCCTGCCTCTACACGTATCTGGTAAGCTCAGGGAAGTGAAAGGTTCGGGCATACCAGACCCGGGTATCAGCAAGCCTGTCTTCACCTCTCAGGTCTTGCTTTTCTCTGCTTCTCCTGGAATGTTGGCTTTGGTCTCTCCTGGATTGATTCTCTCCACATGGTGGGGAATATGCCACCTGCCGGGGTGTTTCTCAGCATCTAGAAGGTTCAGGAATCTGGAGAAGGGCTGCGAGTAAATTAATAAAGAGACTAGACATGAAATATAAATTTGGAAGGCATTATGGGGAGCCAGAGGAGACCTAGCTTCAGTAACCAAGTTCTCTGAGTCTCTGGACCCCTAGCTTTTTATTAACACAAATTGCCCTAAAGCAAAGCAGATATACATATCAAAAGGAAGGTTTGGTATACAGTAGGCAGTGTCAGGTTGGGGGAAATGCCCTCAGCTGTTTGGCAGCAGACAATAACATGTAGATCTTCAGGTTTGGGGAAATGCTTTCAGCTATTCCAGCAGGCAATAATATGTATCTTGGCCCTGCTGAAGCCTCAAGGTCCACCAACCTTTTGATGAACTTCTTGCATGTATGACCTGCTGGAATTAGCCCCTGGCAGCCAACAGCAGCTTCTCACTTGCACTGAGCATGACCAGTGAAATCACTTGCATGCTTCAGGCTCCACACTTGGAGCTTGTGACCAAAAAGCAACAGAGGGCTCTAGCTGGTTGGGCTCAGTGGATAGAGTGTTGTCCTACTGACTGAAGGGTCCTGGGTTCTATTCCGGCCAAGGGCACATGCCCAGGTTGCAGGCTCCATCCCCAGTATGGGGCGTGCAGGAGGCAGCCAATCAATGATTCTCTCTCATCATTGATGTTTCTATCTCTCTCTCTCACTCTTCCTTCCTCTCTGAAATCAATAAAGAAATATATTTAAAATAATAATAAAAAAGCAACAGAGGGATACTCCTCCCCTTCTAACTCTAGCAGAAAAGTTGTGAGGAGGCCTTTGATTGCTCTGGGACAGTAAGATGCCCATTCCTGAACTAATATGATTGGCCCTTTTGGACCAATGAAATGGGGGAGGAATTGCCAGAGGGAAGCAGACACACACCAGAGTTCCCATAGTCCATTGCATCTCCTGTATGGTAATTGGGTTGTTGTTTTTTAGTTCTATGTCTTCTCTACAGCTTTGTGAGGGCCTTGAGGCAAAGACTATGCCTTATTAATTTTGTACCCACCCAGCCAAGAACGGCACTTGGCATATAGTAGTCCTTCAGTAAATATTTGCTGAAGAAATAAGTGAATAAGCAGATCCAGGCAAATAATTTCAAGAATAGAGGCTTAGGAACCCATGACAAAACTCTGAGCAATATGTATTGAAGTACCAGGAGTAAACAGTAACATTGTGACTACAAAGCCAGCCTTAGGTTTGGAAATTTTATATAGTTCTCATGGAGGCAGGATCTTATTACAATTTGACCAATTCATGCTGAATAAATATGTGATTGGCATATAAACTTCTGTGCATAGCAAGCAAATATTTATTAGCAGGAAGATCCTGAAAAGTCTCTTATAATTTGTTGTTTAATCTTGTTAAAATTTTTATAAAGTCATGTTTCAAAATGTGTTTTAGGATGATGGGAAGGTAAACCACTATAAGAAATCAGTTTGACTGCCACAGATGGTAATGGGCAATTTTAGATTCAGAATGGCTAGAGAACTATAAGATTTTATAGACAACTCTCAGTTTTATCAATCATTTCCCAAAGCATGAGCTTGGTTGGGACAACATAATAAGAGAATTGTGCCAACAATATGAAAATAAAAATTAGTATGCATCAAGTTCAAAATTGTTTACAAAATTGAGAGTTTGTGTAAGTGAGACTATGGGGTTAGAATTGCTGTATTCAGGTCGAAGTGTATGTAGAGATAGAAACATTCAGTAGAGCACCAGCCACAAGACCAGTTTTGAGAAAAGCTGGCTTTGAGACAAACAATGTTGATCTTTAGGAAGAAATCATTTGTTGAAGAGGTGAGCAGAACCAAATATAGTGTTGTGAAAAGAATAGAGGTGAAACAAGTCAAAAGTTTGCTTTGAAAAAGTTTAGTTTACACTCAAATTTTTTTTTATTTATGTACCTCTTTTTTTTTTATTCTTTTTAAAAAAATATTATAAGTATTACAAAGGGTATTACATATGTGTCCTTCCCCCCCCCTCCCCGCCCTTGACAATCCCCTGGCCTCCCCTACCCCCCAGTGTCTTATGTCCATTAGTTATGCTTATATGTATGCATACAAGTCCTTCGGTTGATCTCTTACTCCCCTCCCTTCTGCCCCCCAACCCTCTCTGGTCTTCCCACTGCAGTTTGACAATCAGTTTGAGGCAGCTCTGCCTCTGTATCTATTATTGTTCAAAGGTTTGTAATGGTCTTTATTATCCATGAATGAGTGAGATCATGTGGTATTTTTCCTTCATTGACTGGCTTATTTCACTTAGCATAATGCTCTCCAGTTCCATCCATGCTGTTGCAAATGGTAAGAGTTCCTTCTTTTTTACAGTAGCATAATATTCCATCGTTACACTCAAATTTTGAGTAATATCTCTATTCTAAAATATATAGACTATCCCTGCATTTGTTAAACTACTGTACTCTCTCAGTTGTCAAGTATTAAAAAGTTAAGATGTGCTGAGCTTATTTACATACAGGATGTTATCCTGATCCTGTATGATGTTGCAGAGGGCAAAAATATCATATTTAATTCATCTTTATCTTTGCCTAAACAAACAAAACACAGTAGGCACTCAATAGATGTTTTTTGAATGAAAGAGTCCTTAAGTTCTATAGTGCTTTACAATTTTCTTTTTAAAATTTATCTTTATTGTTAAAAATATTACAGATGTCCTCCTTTTTCCCCCATTAACTCCCTCCCCCCAGGCCTTCACTGCACTATTGTCTGTGTCCATAGGTTATGGATATCCTATATAATAAAAGCCTAATATGCTAAGTGTCTGGTCTTCTGGTTGTCCGGTCATCCATTCAACCAATCAAAGCATAATATGCTAATGATATGCTAAGGCTGCTCAACCGCTCGTTATGATGTGCACTGACCACCAGGGGACAGATGCTCCAACCTGTAGGTTAGCTTGCTACTGGGGTCTGGCCAATCGGGACTGAGCGAGACAGGCTGGACATGCCCTGGAGCCCTCCCGCAGTCCCTCTTCTGCTGGCCAACCTCCCGTGTCCCTCCCCAGCCCCAATCATGCACTGGTGGGGTCCCTCGGCCTGTCCTGTGCCCTCTCACAATCCAGGACCCTTTGGGGGATGTCAGAGAGCCGGTTTCAGCCCAATCCCACAGGCCAGGCCGAGGGACCCCACTGGTGCATGAATTCGTGCACCGAGCCTCTAGTATGCATATAAGTTCTTTGGTTAATCTCTTCCCACTCTCACCCCTCACTGCCCATCTTCCCTCTGAGATTTGTCAGTTTGTTCCATGCTTCTATGTGTGCTTTACAATTTTCAAAGAAATTTCATGCACATGATTTCATATCATTTCATCATAACGCTTCAAGGTCTTTATAATACATTCAGATAAGAAAATAAATTCAGAAGGGGAAAATAATGTCCCAAGCCACAAAAATTTGAATTCAAATCTTCCTTCTGGTGTAGTTGAGTCATAATATGTCCTTTCGATGAATAAAGTATATTTTAAGTCATGTCCCACCCAGAGACATAGAGACAGGTAGAGAATATCTATTTTTTGTCTGTTCACCTCCTTTATGGGACTGAAAGCTGCCATTCACACTATTCCACCCCTCTGGTCACTGGGGTAGGAAAGTAACCTACTTCCAGCCAATACGAATACTCTGACCGCAGCATTTGGCTGAGGAGAGGGTATGATCCAAGCCATGTCAATCTGGGTCCTTCTATAGGATTTTTCAATTTAGAGGTAAAAAACGGTTGTTGCCCTTTGAAATCTCAGAGCCTGCAGGATGTAAAGGTGGGTGTGCTTGGGGCCATCGAGGTATACAGTTGCTGGAGAAAGTGAAACAAGCTGACTGTGAGATGAAGTTGGATAAAGGCTCTGGACTGGTCATGCCTGATGAGTCTGCTCCATCCTCAATATGTTGAACCATATGAAATTTCCATTTTTTGTAGGTAAAATTGTTCAACATCATCATTTTCATTTGGTTCAACCAAATATACTAGTTAAAGGACAACACATCAATCTTATCCAGAACCTTATGAGATTTTTCCAGCCTAACACCTTCATGTGATAAATGGGGAAATGAAGGCCCAGACACTTCAAAGGACTTCCTCAAGGTCAGAACTAATGTCAAATAATGCAGGTTTTTGAATTTCAGTCCAGGACGCTTTCCTTTAAGCATAATGAGGCCACCATTTTCAATTAGTCATTTTCAAATTGGTAAACGAGTTGCTTTTCACTGCTTATTTTGTTGTTAACTTTAGATATTTTTTTTCCTTGTTAAGCATAGGGAAATATACTGTTATGACTCAAAGCAGGCAAATTTATTTGTTACACACTTTTCTAGGAAAAATAATCTCTAGAATTTGACTAAAGCCATGAACTTTAAAACCAAAAGAAATAAAAGGATTTAAGTTAAATACGTAGTAATTTTTAAGGCAAAATTAACATATGCAAAATTCTAACTACATTTTCCTTCTTTTTTAAATTTCTTTTTTCCCCCAAATAAGTCAAACTTTAGTGTATGTACATAAGAAACACCAGGAGTTGCTTTTTAAACATACAGATTCCTGAATCCCACACCACACCACTGAATCAAAGTCTCTGGGTGGTGGGGGAGTGTCTAGCTAGGCCCATTCATTGTAGCAAGCTTATTGGATGGTCTTACATATACTGAGGTTTAAGCAGCAGTGCCTAAAGTTTTGACATTCTCGGGGATTCTGTCACTCAAAGAGGAGAGTGCTGAGAACACATTCCTATGAAATCACTATAAGGCCACAGTTACCAATGGGGCTGTGATTTATTATGCAAGTGTGTTGGGCCAACTCATCAGTGCCCATTAATTAGGCTATTACCTACTGATTTACTAATGTGTATCCTGCTCAAATATTTGACCTAATTCACATAATATTTCTAATGAACAACCAAGTATTCCTACCTCAAACCCCACATATCTTTAACCAAGATCATTTCTATTGGTTTCTCCAAATCTGCTTTTTCTTCTGCATTATCTACTTCAGTTAATGGCACCACAAGACATCTAATTGGTTAAACCAGAAAACTTGGAATTGTCCTCACTTCCGTGTTTTACTTCTCGCCTAATTAGTCACCTAGTCTTGTCTCACCTACTTTTCAAACATTTCTCAGGTTAGTTTTCTTTTCATAATCCTTATTGCCATTGCCTCAGGGTCCTTCTTTAGATGATTGTTATCTCTTCTGGGCTTTTTTTTTTTCTTCTTCTTCTTCTTCTGGGCTTTTGAAATAGCCTCCTACAAGGCTTTCCTGTCTGTAGCCTCATTTTTTCTGTAGTCCACCTTTGACATTGCCATGGGAAGTACTTTTCTAAAATGTAAATCAGATTTTGCCACTCCTTCTAAGGTGGCTCCTCATTACCTCCCAGATAAAGCCTAACCCATTTGCGTGACATACAAAGCCCTTTGTGATCTGTTTTAACTTTTCAGAGGAATAATCTCTTGCTATTCCTGCCTTGGGTGTCAACCCCACTGGACAGTCACATCTTCTGTTAAACTTCTTTGACTCCACCCCTGTGTGGGCACAGCTAGTGAGTCCTCTTATCTTTTAGATAACTTTATACAGGCTTCTATAATAGCACTTATCATTGTCCTGTGGTTATTTTGTTTACATGTTTATTCAACTAGGGCTAGGCTATGAACTTGTGGATTGCAAGAAATTCCTAGTACAGTATTTATCTTTGAATCAGCAGCATAGGATATATAGAATTTCCTGACTCATAGTAGGTCAGTGACAGAACAAACATGTGATTGACTTGAGACTATGTGCAAAACACTTTGCTTTTTATCTTGTGTTAAATATATTCTCAAAGAGTATTTTTATATTTGTATTTTGGGGTAAGTGTTAGCTTTATCTAATCCCATTTGTTGTTTTTGTCTTTCATAAAAGTCTAAAAAGTATAAGTCAAAGCTCATGATTCAAATCCAGTAGTTTTAGATTTAATACCACCTTATTTTTATCATTTTAAAATAGCCCTAACGTAATATCTTATTAGTGTCTATTAACTGTAAAATTTGGGGCTTTCATACAATGTTTTGAAAACTATTAAAGCCTAACTTACACCAAACCAGGGACTCCCTGTGAACATAAGCAAAATTGTGCCACTGTTATCTATGCAGAAAAGACATGTTGACTTACTCTATAATTTATCCATTGTAGATCCATTCTCAGCAGGAAACAAAAACCAGGAGAGTTTCTCTATCTCAAGTTAGCATTCATCTGATATTCTAAATATATCTCTTGAAAAAGAGAATCAAAGGAAAAAATATATTATTTCCCTGTATTCAGGGAACTTGAATACAGTTTCAACTGTATTCTATTCCAACCCATACTAAAGCCCCTGTACTATAGGTATTTTAGATATAATTTATTTCTGTAAGTATTAAGCTGACGCTTCCCCATGTATTTCTAATTTCTCACCCAGCCTTAGCTAGTATCCTGCAATGCTAGTGTAGATCTTTTAGGTCAAGAAATTATGTAAGTGGGAAAAGAATGAAACAGCCAATTTAGGAAGAATCAGTTTTACATTAGTCAGAGTTATCGATATGTCTGCCCATTTGCAAGAGATTAAGTTCCCTTTGAGACAATAGGAAGCAGCTATTAACTTAAATGTAGTGCCCTAGCCGGTTTTGCTCAGTGGATAGAGCGTTGGCCTGTGGACTGAAGGGTCCCAGGTTCGATTCTGGCCAAGGGCACATGCCTGGGTTGGCGGGCTTGATCCCTAGTAGGGGGCATGCAGGAGGCAGCCGATCAATGATTCTCTCTCATCATTGATGTTTCTATTCTCTATCCCTCTCTCTTCCTCTCTGAAATTAATAAAAATATATTTTTTAAAAATAACATAAATGTAGCGAGTGAGTTGTAAAAGAAATCTTAAGTTAGAAAAGAGAGCATATTACAAAAGAAAAAACATATAGGATTATGGGAAAGGAAAAATATATTGGTAAATACCAAGAATTGGGTAAGGTAATCATGGGGATCTAGAAGGAGAATAAAAATGTCAGTATTGACCAAGGGCAGCTCAAGAGGCCATATCTCAAATAATCCTGAATACGTCATCAAAAAATATATATTCTCTCTCTTTTTTTAAATGGAACATGGAGTAATTCTTTAGGCACCACTATACTCGTTAGCACTGCTGTTGTCTTTCCCCACCAGTTCTTAATGTTTTCTCTAAGAAGTTATACTAACCTTAAACTCACATACCTTGGTCCCAAGCCTCTTTAAGTGAATTGGTCCCTTTCTACCGTGTTAGTTTGAAGATTCTAGAGATTTGTTTCTCAGCTGCTGGGAGTCTCTCCTTTGCCTGTTGTGTGAGCTGGTTAAGGGATAGGTTTGCATTTGGTCCAACAAGATCCTACCGTACTTCCAAGTTGCTTCTCCTTGTCTCTCTTTATGAAACACAGCAGGCCCTCCAGCCTAGATGTGGATGGTTGCTGGGTAAAACAAACACCCTGTGTCCCTCTTCCACTAAGCACTGTAAGATAAACATTCTAATTTTTCCCAGCCACTCACTAGCTGGGCTATAAAGCCCTTTTGTTTGTATTCAGAAGTGTGGTGAGTTATTTACTTTGTGAGCTGGGGATAACTTAGCCACTGGTATCTTCAAAAGCAGCCTGAAATCACTGAAGCTGTCAGTTTTTATAGAACTGAGCAGCACATAGAAGAACGTACAAAATTACACCGTTACAACAGAAAATTTGACAGCCATTTTAATGATTAATAAATCTGCTGTCTGAAAGCATTGCCATTTATGGCATGCCGTCAAGTTGCTGGTTAAGCCTGTTTCGTTTTGTCATCAGTGTACATAGCTACTGTTGGTCACTGTCCTGCATATCAAAGGACCTTTTTTTATCTTTTCTGTAATTCCATCTTTTTTTTTTTTTTTTAACTTTATACACATCTTTTTAGTTCTCATGCTAACTTAGGTTCTAACATCTCCACCTTGTTCTTCAAGTGGTAACTGTCAGAATGAGTGTGTGTCGTGATAGAGCAGTGGTTCTCAACCTTCCTCATGCCGCGACCCTTTAATACAATTCCTCATGTTGTGGTGGCCCCCAATTTCATTGTTACAAATTGAACATAATTAAAGCATAGTGATTAATCACAAAAACAATATGGAATTATATATGTGTTTTCTGATGGTCTTAGGCGACCCCTGTGAAAGGGTCGTTCGACCCCCAAAGGGGTTGCGATCCACAGGTTGAGAACCGCTGTGATAGAGGTTCCACCAGCACTGAACACACAAGGAAGCTGGCCTGATGGTCCTTCCGTACCAGCTGCCAATTTACAGTGCAGTGCTTCCCTGCTCGTTCATGGTCAGCTAAGTATCCACTTTGACCCTACATATTTTGCTGACATTTTGAAATATGTATATATTTATTGATTTCAGAGAGGAAGGGAGAGGGAGAGAGAGACAGAAACATCAACGATGAGAGAGAATCATTGATGGGCTGCCTCCTGCACACCCCACACCAGAAACCAAGCTGCCCATGAGCCCCGATTGGGAATTGAACCATGACCTCCTGGTTCATAGGTCCATGCTCAACCACTGAGCCCACCAGCCAGGCACTGCTGACATGTTTTTATATAGCTAAAGTTCTCATCTGATTTTTTGATTTTTTGGTTTGTCATTGTTGTTTTGTGTTGTACCTGCCCCTACTCACTACTGTTTTCTTTGTTTTTAACACTTCTCTAATTGTCCAGGGTCATTTTGAATTCTAATGTTGCCTTATGGTTAACGGCTGTTTATTTTGAGATGTTTGGGAACATCACTTCTATTCTTCCACCCAGATTATATATAACTAATGTAATAGCAAATCCGGGGGGGGGGGGGGGGCGGGGAGGGGAGCGGATCTAAAGGGGAAATTTCACACACAATTGCAACAAACTACGTATTTATCAAACTACTATATTTAAAAATATACCTAAACAGTCTTAAGAAGTAACATGTAAGACCCATTTAAAGGAAAATACAAAACTATTGAGCTATAAAATAATCCCCGCCCCCCCTCCCCAGGTCTTTTAGCTGGAGAATACTGAGTATTCATTCAGAAGGCATTATGTTTGAGTGAGTTTAGCAAATGAATGCTAGAGTCTGAGCCTGTGTTCCTGGGGAAGGAAATGTTGTTGGGAAGCCACAGGACTTACTTTGTGACCTTTTGTTCTCTAACTATATACAATCAAGGATGCTCAGAGGTTGTCATGCCACCTACAACCCCAATTACAATAGAAGCACTAATTACAGTGAGCATTTGGTCAGGTTGCAGTGTTTCTTGTAGGCAATAGTTTTTAGTTTCACTTTGTGAGAAAATATAGGCATTTTTAGTTCAGAAATTAAAAATCATTGTGAACTCTCATTGATAGATTTTAAATGTGCTTTTTTGATGCCAATAATCATTTGGCTTAAAAAATTATACTTTAGCCGAAACTGGTTTGGCTCAGGGGATAGAGTGTCGGCCTGCAGACTGAAGGGTCCCAGTTCGATTCCGGTCAAGGGCATGTACCTTGGTTTCGGGCACATCCCCAGTAGGGGGTGTGCAGAAGGCGGCTGATTGATGTTTCTCTCTCATCGATGTTTCTAACTCTCTATCCCTCTCCCTTCCTCTCTGTGAAAAATCAATAAAATATATTTTAAAAAATTATACTTTAAATATGTAACAAATTGGACATTTGAGCTTCACTGTACTTAGTCATTATTATTATTTTTTTAAAAAAACTAAACATGGCTCTTTTTTACATAATAAAACTGAAACCTCTGGTATCTTGAACTGAGAAATAAGTTTTGGAGATAGCTTAATTTTTTGCATTAGTTCAAAAAACTTAAAATTTATAACCATTCTAGATGGAAATTTTCCTTAAGATTATTATATATATATTCCAAATTCTGTGAACAGAATAGTTAGTGTAAAATGTAACTTTCATTTGATGTCACAGGTTCAAAAAAACAGGGGCATAAGGAGCTTTTTCTACACAAATTCTGGTTCTGCCACTTAACAGCTGTGCACTTTGGGCAAGTCAATCAATCATTCTGAGCCTTGGATTACACCCAACTTGAGCTACTTACATTTTCAGGCTGTTGTGAATATGAGAGAGGGAGAGAGAGAGAGAGAGAGAGTGAGAGAGAGAATGAATCAGAGTATAGATTATATATCATTTAAGTTGCATTTGAGAAAGAGAATTATGTTTTTTGAGTGATTGTGTGCCAGGTACTTCACCTGTTGTCTCCTTCAGTGTTTATAGCAACCTTTCAATGTTTATTATGCCCATTTTATAGATTACATATTAAATCTTAGAGTAGTTAAGTAACTTGCTCTTTGTAACAATGATGAGCGAATGAGAGTAAAGTGGGTAAGTCAAAGTCCAGAAGGATAACTTGAATTTTCCCTGGTCACCTACGGGGCGGGGGGGGGGGGGGGGGGGAAGAGATATAAACGGTCTTTTTCATCCTGGCCGGTTTGGCTCAGTAGATAGAGCGTCGGCCTGTGGACTCAAGGGTCCTGGGTTTGATTCCGGTCAAGGACAAATGCCTGGGTTGAGGGTTCAGTCCCCAGTAGGGGGCATGCAGGAGGCAACCGACCAATGGTTCCCTCTCATCATTGATGTTTCTATCTCTCTCTTCCATTCCCTTACTCTCTGAAATCAATAAAAATATATTTAAAAAATATGAAAACAGTCTTTTTCACTGTCAGTTCATTGTTTTGTTTTTTAATCTTTTCGTTTTTAGGGTTACCCCCTCCCCCATCAATAGAGGAAGTGTATGGCTAGATATTTCTTGATATTACATAATTAATATTAATTTCAAAAGTGTGATAGTGACATTCTGGTTATTACATTTTTAAAGAGTCCTGTTATGAACTGAATGTTTGTGAATCCCAAAATTGGTATATTAAAACCCTACCCTAAACCCCCCGTGTGATGATATTAAAAGATGGGGCCTCTGGGAGATAATTAGGATCAGACGAGGGCATGAGGGTGAAGCCCTCATGATAGGATTAGTAGTACCCTTTTAAGAGTTAGGAGAGAGCTTGCTTTCTCTTTCTGTTCTCTACCATATGAGGATACAGCTAGAAATTAGCAGTTTGCAGCCTGGAAGAGGGCCCTCATCAAGACCTGACTGTGCTGGCACCCTGAGCTTAGAACTGGGAGAAATAAATTTCTGTTGCTGATAAGCTACCCAGGTTATGGTATTTTCTTATTGGAGCACAAGCTGATTAAGACACATTCTTTCTTTTAAAGATACATTCTAGAATATTTACAAAGGAACAGTTATGAATTCTGGAACTTGTTTTTACAATTACTTGGAGGTGAAGGGGATTGTGTGTGAGTTGTAGGTACAGATGAAATAAGGTTAGCAGGAGTTAATACATTTGGAGACTGGCTGATGAGATCTGATTCTAAGTCCCCTTGACTCCAAAGCCCATACACTATTTTATCTGGTGGGATACCCAAGCACCATCAATTTTAAAGCCATTTTCCCTGGGTCTTCTCTAAATGAAGTCAAGTCGTGACTTTTGAAAACTAGCTGTTATGGTGCATTCTTCCTGTCTTCTGAATTTTGATTAACCTCCTGTAAAGGAGCCAGACCTTGGAAAAGAAAATATAAAGTGTATGTTTTCCCCTTGGGCAACACTCTGTAATAGCTCAGGCACTCTGAGTACTGACTGATGTGATCCAAACTCATGCAATGCTTTCTTTGTTTGCAGGTACAGAGACACCCTCAGCCGAAGCCACGAAGTTGTTGCTGAGGCTTAGTTGTTGAGACTGGAAGTGATCTGAAAAGTCTTCAAATGGCCATTTGTGAAAGTGTTCTACTTAGGTAGCAAGTTGCCATTGCCACCACAGAAATAACCTCTACTGA